GAAAAAATCTCAGATGGGAGAAAAAATCCCATCTGAGATTTTTTCTCCCATCTGAGATTTTTTCTCCCATCTGAGATTTTTTCTCCCATGGGATAATGGTGGGATAATTGGTGGGACTGAAAATCCCACCATTCTCCCATGGGATTTTGATATTTGGGACTTAATATTTCTCAAACTAGATAAGCTTGTTAGTTCAACATGAGATTATGTGCTACTGCTAGAAAATCCCACCAAGTAATATTAATGTTTTTTTGATATCGCAATTGGAAATGGTAGTAAAAAGTCCGGACTATGTCGTGTCCGGAGTTAAATGTCGCACTGTTTAATTAAGGTCTATTGTCTGACCAGACGGTGTACTGTACACTGATAATCTGTTAATCTTACCCCGTTTCTCAATGTGTATAAATCTGGTCGGATGTCATAAAATTTAGTCTGATCGGCTGTTCTTCTGAAAATCGATTTTGAAATAACAATCATTGAACATGTTGAAGACCGACTAGATTTTGACAGATACTTACCGCTGCATTTAAAAAAAATAAAAAAAAATAACGAATTAATTAAAATTATTCATGATGTAAAAGCAGGGACATATATAGGTCCCTGGTAAAAGTCAATCATTTGTATACCAGTAGCCCCCCCCCCCCCCCCCAAAAAAAAAGACAGCGATTTACACCATATTTTTTTAAAGTAATATGTATTTTGTGTTCATGGATAAAGATAATTTTAAGAAAAAATTGATTTTGGGTATTGAAAATTTAAGATATTTCACAAGGACTTGCTCCCGGCGTGTAATAATTATTTATTTTTAAAAATCATATACACTGAAAATAAAAACAACGCATGTAATAATGATTTTTTTTTTTAAATAATATACGGTAGTGATAAAGGATGTTTTATTTTATTATCACTGTAAATGATTTTTTTAAAAAAAATAATTATTAGACACTGGGAGCAAGCCCCTGTGGCTATTAGCTAACTTTGTTCTCAGTGGTCTCAAGTTTATGCATGTTGTCAAAAAACTCGTAGAAATTACGATCGAGACAAAATTATGAGTTGGAATAGATTTTGCGTAAATGATATTAAAACAACTAAAAGTTAGTTCAAAGATTCTAGTATATAAGATGCGTAAAAGTTTAATGAGGTTTGACAATTAAGTCACCATTAAGCTAAGCTTAAAGGTGGCTTAATGGTAGCTTAATGAAGTTTGGACATTAAGCACCTGTAAGTTGCAGCTTAATGGTGGCTTAATGGTGGCTTAAAGGAATTAACTTCTTTAAGCCACCATTAAGTCACCATTAAGCTACCATTAAGCGATTGCTTAAAGGTGGTCTTTCGTCTTGTGGCTGTTAATTTTTCTGTTGTAAAGTACAGTTGAACTTAATTGGAATCTCAAACACGGATATTATCTCAAAGGAACTTGACGTTACTTATTTTTCTTTTTAAAAAACACCCCCTACCTATAATTAGGTAGAACGGTATATTTTTTAATAAAAAGAAAAATAAGTGATGTCAAGTGCCTGCATGTGCTTAATCTATACAATTGTACATGAAATTTAAGTATCTTGATTACCATGAATACAAGTATATGTCGACATGATTTTATTGATTGATTGTATATTGTTTAACGTCCATCTCGAGAATTTTTCACTCATATAGAGACGCCATCATTTGTGATGCTAATCTTGTCCTATACTCAGCACTCAGGGCCATTGAGCAGGGAGGGATCTTTTTCTTGCCAGCACCTACTGTGTAAAGTCTTTCCTCTTGTCTGTTTGTTGGCAAACCATTAAACCTATAGGCGTACGTATAACTTTTGATTGGTGAGAGGTATGGCTTTCATATTTCACATATGTATTCCTTAATTGTGTCAAGGCCTACCTATATATACCAGTATAGTTGACCTTTTGACCTTGACTTTGGAGATTTGACCCACTTTATCAAAAATTCACCAAACTTTTATCTTGGCCATAACATATAAACAGTTTGAGCTAAGGGTTTTAATAATTCACATGTGTATTCCTTGTGGCATATTCCACTAACTAGACAGTGACTCCTTAAATATATATCCTGTAAATATAAGTGCATTTACAGGATTTTACAAGGTGTTTAACTGTAGGATATATTTTTACAGTGTGGATTATCGTGTACTTCCCCATTGAGGACACGGTCAGTCACCCAATCAGATTACAAGAGGTGAAGACGCTGATGGGGGACACGGGGGAGCAGGCTGGACTGAGGGAGGGAGACACCTGTCTGGCCCCCTACTTTGTCGGGGATAGACTCCACACAGCAAAGATAATCAGATGCACAGGTACAAAACTAAGCACTTATCTGCTTACTGTAAATCACTTTTTATTCGCGAGAACTTTATTTTCGCGTAATTACGCGAGACAGTGTACTCGCGAAAATTTAATTCTCGCGTATAATATCATTCCTTAAGAATATATAAAGCAATAACCACAATTCGCGAAAATTTTGTCTCGGTAATCAAGAGTCAATGACTATCTCGCGAAAATAAGGTCTCGCGAAAATTAAGTGATCTACAGTATACACTGCCTAGTTAATGTGAGATAAATTTATAATAGAATTATGTTATATCTGTTTTAGGAGCAGTATATCATTCCTAAGTACATTGATATCTGTAAACATCTTCACCTTAGAACATGCTTTACTTTTTACACACAGATCTCCTTTATAGAGTACTGAGTCATATAAATATTAAATAATCTGTATGTAAAGTTGAATATTGACATGTTTGATTTGTTCCAATCATTGCTGTTGGCAGTAGGAGCAGAATATGCCATTATTTTGTATTAAAGGAGAGGTTAAGACTTCAGTACATTTTCATATTAGAATTTTGTCCATTTGCAGGGAACAGAATAAAGCTGCTTCATGACTATGCCAAGTTACTGAATTTAAGGAAGAGAACTGACGGAGACTTCCTATCTGAGGAGGAGACAATGGAGCACAACACAGCAGAAAATGACACAGGTCTAGTATAGAATATAAGGATGGAGCACAACACAGCAGAAAATGACACAGGTCTAGTATACAATATAAGGATAGAGCACAATAAAGCAGAAAATGACACAGGTCTAGTATACAATATAAGGATGGAGCACAATACAGCAGAAAATGACACAGGTCTAGTATACAATATAAGGATGGAGCACAGCACAGCAGAAAATGATATTATATATAGAATATAAGGCAGGATTTGGGTTTCACTTTTAGAATTTTTTAAAATTCCTGTCATGGTAGTATATTGTAATGGAGAGACTCATTCTTATCAAAAATATTGCATATGACGTTAGGGTGTGTAACGGCCTTGACACAAGGTCATTCTTTCAAGTGCAGACTTACTGGCAGAAAAAAAAAATGCTCATTGATTCTCACAAGAAGGCAAATATTGGAAGTTACAAGTAATGTAGGTATACATGTACTTGAAAAAATGATTGCTTTTGACATTGTCATATTCTGAACCTAGGTCACTTTGGCAAGTACATGGCACCTGATCCCACCTCTGATGGTTATAGAGGTCCATGTTTGCTCTGCTCCCAGTCAATGTTTTAATGGCCTTTTGCACTTGATAACTGAACATTATCTCCATACATGTATTTCATTTTAACACAGGAGTCATGGGACAGGTATCAATGCAATATTAGTATTGTGACAAGATGACAATATTTCTTTTTAACTATTTTCAAAGTACAGTACAAGTCGTTTATTATCATAGTAAAGCACTAATTAAAAGTATATCCTTTCTGTAATTGCCCTATTTAAAAGTACAATTCTATAAATCAGTACATATTGTATTTTGCCATTATCTATTTTAGGCTCCATTTGGAAATATGCCAAAGCTGTAGGTGGTGAGATTGTAGGTGGACTGACAGTGTTGGCGGCACCACTGGTTTTGTCAGCAGGTAGTGTGAGTGCTGTAGTGGCAGCCACCGTGATGACTAAGGCGGTGCCTGTCCTGGCCCTCACTGCCGCGGGCGTAGTCGCCGTCAGGGAAATGGTCACAGAGGATCACGAGACTACAGAGTCTGAGGAGAAACACGTATCTAAGCCTACAAAGACAAGCAAATCACAGGCTCCACAGAGCCCAGAGGCCACAGAAAAGGACCAATCAGGGAGCCTGTTATCTGGGGCGGGGCTCCGGTCAGCTGTGAAGGGCGTGTTTAGCTGGTTCTCAGGGCCGTCCGAGGGCGATGGTAACAATTCATTCATTTTATACTTGTTCTCCTGAAAAAGGTCAAATTGGTTACTTAGAATATTGTTGATTTTTTCTAAATCAATATTAATAGTGGATAACTTGGTCACTGTAAACATGCTTAAATTATTGAGGTTAGAAATCTTGGTAAAGAACTTCAAAAATCACCAAATAATTATTATTTACTTTAAGCATTTTCACAAGCTACAAAACAATTTCATAAAATGTGTAAGCAATTAAAATCTGGTTTCTATAAAACTGTAGCTAACACTATTAATGAACTGAACCCAAAATGTACAAGAAAATTTTGGAATTCTTTAAAATCAAACATGCAAAATCAGGTTGAGGCAGAGTCACCCATTAAAATATGTCAATGGGTTGACCATTTTCATACTCTATTAAATTCTAACGAACATGACATAGGTATGGATATTAATTGTGAAGTTGACAAAGACAAACCCCTAGACTTTCTATTTACACCTAAAGAAGTACAAATAGGAATATCGAGCTTGAAATCTGGAAAAAGCTCTGGTTTAGATCTTATTCCAAATGAATTTATTAAAATAAGTTTTAATATTTTCCTGCCTGTACTGGTTAAACTTTTTAATAAAATTCTTCAGAATGGCAGAATGCCAGAATTATGGAACCTCTCATTAATCACAACTTTGTATAAAACTGGAGATCCAGGAAATTGCAATAATTATAGAGGATTTAGTGTAACAAGTTGTCTCGGTAAACTTTTTAATAGACACCTTCAAACCCGACTTAATAATTATTTAGAATCAGAAGGGTTGTTAAGTCATTTTCAGGCAGGATTTAGGAAAGGATATCGTACAACAGATAATGTTTTCATCCTCAAAATTTTAATGAACAAGTACCTGTTTAATAAAAAGAAGGAATTATTTTTGTGCTTTGTTGATTTTTCCAAAGCTTTTGATACTGTATATAGACCAGCTCTTATGTATAAGATTTTAAAAAAGGTATTGGTGGAAATTTTTTCAATATTATAAAACATATGTACTCTACTACAAAATGTGCTGTAAGACAGGGAAACCATTATAGTGAGTTTTTTGATACAACATTAGGAGTTAAACAAGGGGACAATTTAAGTCCTACTTTATTTAATATTTTTGTTGACGACTTTGAAAATTATTTTGATAAAGTTATGACCTACCCTGTATGTTTAGGTGATTTAACTTTTAATCACTTATTTTTTGCTGATGATCTTGTTTTATTATCAGAGTCAGCTGAAGGTCTCCAAAATTGTATAGACAGTCTTTCAAGATATTGTATAGAGTGGAAGTTGCATGTAAACTTAGAAAAAACAAAGGTTATGATTTGCTCTACCAGAAAAATAAAGAAATATTATGCATTTTATTATAACAATAATAATATAAATATTACTGATAAGTACAAATATCTTGGTGTATTTTTACAATCAAATGGCAATTTAAAACATGCTTGTGATGGCCTTGCTGCCAGAGCCCGAAAAGCTTATTTTGCCTTAAAGCATAAACTACCCTTTGGCTCAAATCTGTCTCCCAGCTTGTGGTTAAAGCTATATGAATCAATTATTGTTCCAATTTTAACATACTCTTTAGAAATTTGGATCTCTGATTTTAATACAAATCCCAATAATTTTGATAAAACTCCTTTTAAAAAAATCCAAAATTTTATCTTAAAAAACATCTCAGGTGTCCATAATAAAGCATCAAACTTAGCAACTAAAATTGAATTAGGTGTTTTCTCTGTACATACCAAAATTTACCAGCTTGTTTTTAAATATTATTCCAGATTGGAAAAATTAACAAAAACAAATAATAATTGCAATGTCTTGCTCAAGAATGCTTACTTGGAAGATACTCGATTGGCCAGTGAAAATAAAAAATGTTGGCAAAGTTGTGTAAAATCAATACAGAAGATGTTAGATTTTAACTTTGACACAGATTTTAAAACTTTTAGTCCTAAACTTAAAAATTTCTTTGAAAATAATTTTTTTTCTGAACTCCAACACATTAACAATACTCAATGCGGTAAGCTGTCATTTTATAGTACATTATTCAACTATGATGCTAAGAAACTGGAAATCCAACCATACTTGTGTTTTCCACTTCAAAAGAATTTATTTTCTTATCTTTCCAAGTTAAGAATAAGTGCACATAAGTTGTACGTAGAAACAGGTAGATACTGTAATCCTGTCATTCCTAGAGAAAATAGATTTTGTTTCCAATGTAAAACTATTGTTGAAGATAAAAAACACTTTTTATTTGATTGTCCTGTGTATAAAAATGTCAGAAAAAAGTATTCGAGGTTACTAGATGTTAATAACTTTTCTTGTTTGCTTAATCCACATAACTTTGTATCTACGAAACAAATCTGTCTATATATAAGAGACTGTTTTGATGTTAGAAACAAGCTTACAATAGTATAATATTTTGCAATACATGTATATGGCTAACAACACATTTCTGTATATAAATATGTGCTTTAGTGCCAATAAAGAATTGAATGGAATTGAATTGACTTGTGACTTGTTATTTTTGACAGATGATAAAGATTCCACCCATGTTGACAGTGCCAAGGATAAAACAGAAGACAGCTCTCTGTGTAAGAACTTACTGTCAGAAACTGCATATAGCAGTACAGAATTATATCATTAGCATGATTAGAAATCATTGCATTTTGTCAGTGAAAGAATTAAACCATCAGAAATCCTAGGGCCAGCTTTGTGTTGAACATAAAGGTGTACTTTAAATTTGTACGTATTTTAAATATGTTGATTTAACATGTTTTTATAGTAATAGATTTTAGTGAAGATGAGACCAAGAACTCATCAACAGAAAGGGTCCCTTCTGTAAACAGCTGCACACAAGATAGAGCCTCAGCTCAGGACATGATGAATAGTAGCCGAGGTTAGTTATAAATACTGTAGGAATTTAGGCTGGACTGAGGACATCGGCCTGGATAGCTCAGTGGTTAGAGCACCTGACTAGAAAATTAATACAGGGGTCCTGGGTTCTATTCCCAGTCCAGCTATATGTTTTTCATTATACATATGTAATATGTATTGATGAATTATCAATGTATGTTTACTCATCCCTCCTTTCCATATACTGCAGTACAAGTGAACACAGAGAGGTTACAGTTGTCACATTAAAACTGTCTACCATTTATTGAGGAAATTATAGAATTGAAATAAGGGCAAATGCTTGATAACTTCACAGGGCATCCATGCATTTCTGGATTATACCCCCCTCCTCCTGTTCAATATACAGTATATCATGATCTGGTTTCATTTAAATTTTAAAAAACAGATGAATGTGTGATGTATGAATGTATGTTTCATGCTAAATTCTACTGTACATGAGAAGTTTCTGAGGATGAGGTGTAAACTAGTTTCCCTCCCTTTCAGACTGGCTGACTGTGGAGAACCAGCAAATGTGGGAAGAGGGGGTGTGTAGAGTTTGTAAGGACAGCGAAGTGGCTGTTCTGTTTGACCCCTGTGGACACATGTGTGCTTGTCTAGACTGCTCAGTGGTTCAAAGACGATGCCCGATGTGTAGTCAGTTCATCAGCGTTCATCACAGGGTGTACAGGTCATAGCTACTGGACAGGTGATGTTTTGAGTGAACTACAAACATGTATTTGATATCAAACATTACAATAATTTATCTACATGTACCTGAAAATTGTAATATTTTGGGCTCAGTGGATATTGTTCTTGGAGCCCGGTTGTTAGATCAGCAGATTGATCATGATACTAAAAAACAATACTGGTTTTAGTTTTTCATATAATCATGCAGTGCCATATTTTTCGGTTGTTTATAGTTATATACTGTACTTATTCTGTTGAAAAGAAGAGTAGCTCAACTCAGAATTTCGTTTGACACCAAATATAAAGCATGTTCAGTCTTTATCAATTTTTGAAATTCACCCATCTAGTTTGAATAGAAAATTTTGGAAAAAAGAATAAAATGTGGTTATTATATACCTACATTTGACATTTATTTTTTTTTCTTGATTAAAGCCCGAGATAATAAGCACCGCCTTCAGATTAACCTGGTCTGTATTCCCCTGTCAATCAAATAAATTAAGGTCCATCATTGGGTACTTGAAAATGATTGACATTTAGCTGCTAGTCCCTGTGTATATCTCTCTCACCTTGTTTGACACGCGTGGCCATCATCAAATTAACTTTCGGTCTTCTGATGTTTACCGCTAAGTCACAATCGCAATGAGGAAGCCATTTCGATTCAAACAATTTTAGCCTGATTATATTTATTAATTGATTGTAATTATCTGTATTACAAACATTGAAAAATGAAAATGTTCTCATATTGTTTCAATTAAATAAATCAAGATTGTGTATTTTTTTTCTAATGAAAAGTGCATAGGTGACTGAAATCTTGTTTTCATTCGTAAAGAGATTCTTGTTTTGAGACGCGGCGAAAATATTACGATGAAAATAAAGGATAAAAAACTGTTAACATTTTTTGCTTGAAATGGATAGTAAGGTTGAAAACTAAATGTCTGATTAGTAACAACTTCGCCTGGACAAGTATTAAAATATTAATAGTTTCTTTCTTTTCCTTTTTTATAACCGAGCATTTCTTGCTACACGGGTTCTTACCTCCGTTCAAGGTCACTTCAAGGTGTTTAAAATAGTTTTGAAAGAAATACAGAAGTTAGCAATAAATCAATGTTTTGTTTTAAGTTTTTTTAATTATAATCTAAATTTACTTATCGATGAAATACACACAATTGTATGTAATTTTAACTTGATGAAACCATCGCTATGGCGATTTTTTTCACAAGATGCCATATGTACATTTGCTAAAAATAGGACCACGCGACTTTTTATACAAACGGGAAGTAACTATTTCTATTTGACCGTGATCGAAGCTCTAATTGCTACGATATTTACGATAATTATGAATAGTTTTTAAGATTTTGAAACGGACAGGCAAGGATAAGTATTTTACTGTTGAATTTATACCTGTATTTCATAATTTTTTTTTTATAACGAACTCAAGTCATCGCTGCTGTGACGAACAATGTAAAGTACACCATACCGTAGATTTTTTTTTAACAGAAGTCGACCGGTGAGATTTCTGCTTGTTTTGATACTGAATATGTCTGAAATTATGGAATTTTACAATGATCATTTATTATTACTAATGATATTTTTTATTCACGATGTCGAGATCTACTAAGTTAATGATGGACAGTACTCAGTAGGCCATCAAGCTGTACAGGTAATACTCATAGACTTCCTGTGTATACTGTTTGTGTATAGGGATTAGCGCTTCCCCCGGTGTGCACGACCGTCAATGCCTCGGGGTGCCACGCATGTAAAATTTAGTCCCTCCCCTTACCTGAGAAAACCGTACGGTTAAAAATCTCGGCCTTTAAGATAGGTTGTGATTTGTAAAATGTTAATTTCAGCCAATCAGGAAGCGTATATACTAAACATTGTAATTTTGTATTTTGTTGTCATTGAAATATTAGAATTAGTTCTTGTTATGCTTTTATAAATATTAAGTAAATGTGAATTTTATTCTATATTCTTATGATGTTGATAATTCAGAATCAGTTGCACACAGTGAAATGCAAGAGACAAATTTAGAAAAAAAAATCTTAAGGTTGTATAAAAAGGTTTATCTTTTTACAGTGACATAATTTCTATCTTTTTGGTGCTTTACTTCTTGTAGTAATTGCATGTAGCTGCCATGAAAATATTTTAGTAAATTTGATTTTTAAGCCTCTCTTCTAAGAAGGGAGAGCATATTGCTTTGCTGCTGTTGCTGTTTGTCTGTTGGTCCAACAAGTTTCCATTCATTTTCTTTGCAGCCATTGCACATACTGAAATGAAATTTGTCATATACATGTATATTTCTCATAAGAATATCAAGGTCGAAATTATTTTGGGGTATGATTGAGCCATTTTTGACAGAGTTATTCCCTTGGACTTCGCAAAATTCCAATTATTTGAAGGGGCACAAGTGTTTCACAAGCATTTCTTGTTTATTAACATACACACTCCTATTATTTTGTTATTTACTTGAGGATAATTTGTCTGAAGATGCTGGATCAATGATTTGTGTTTTTTATCAGTTACTATGGTGACATAGTGTAGCAATATTTAGACCTGTGAATGGTTGTTGTGTTACTGAATGATAAATATAATTATGTTAAGATCGTTTTGTTTTATTCTTGAAAGTGTTGGATATAAACAGTGTTCGTTATGTAGATTACACATTGTTAATTGTTTCTGTGTGCAATATTTTCTTGTGAGACTTCTCAACTTACAGAATTTGTTTGCAAAAGATAACATACACCAGATTTTCTCTTGGAGCTTTGTGTGGGTATATAACCAACAATCATGTTGTCTTGGATTTTGTACATATTTTAATGCACATGTTATACAAAGAAAGGGATATTTTTGTCCTTCTTGAACACATACTTTTCATCAGATAAAGTGAGTTCAAGCAGTGACCCTATAAAATCATATTAAATGCATACAGGAGAGTGGTTGTATAGTATTCCTGTTATTGAATACCAATCATACTTTTGGCCATTCCTATGACATTCAAACCTTGATGATCTATCAAGACGCTTATAGTCAAGGTCTTGACATACTGTTAGTTCATTATCAAAAAATACAAATGAAATGTTGATAGTGCTTTCGACCCTCTAGTTCTGTGGCCGATAATAGGATCAAGAAGATCTACGATTTGTTTAATCGAGTCTTTTCCAAAGCGATATCGCCTACGGATGTCCTCGTCAGTCATGTTTTCTACAGAGAAACGTTCTCTAAACACTCTATCAGCCTTCCTTCTTCCCAACTGGCCAAACATTACGTTGGCCGCCATAGTTAATGAACGTTTAAAGAAGCCCTCTTGGGTTCATTAAAATAAGATAAGTTAATGAGGCTTTAATGCACCAATTCGTTCATTAAAACATTGATACAACGAATTTAATGACACATAAAAATGATCAGTTTAATGAAGCTTTAATCATTCATTAAATATTGATACAATCGGGTTCGGATCATTTTATCCCACGTGCAGTGATTTGTAGGTCATTATTGCTGTAAACAGTATCATATGGAGTCATTGTTGTGTTTTAATGTTTTCTTACCAGCCAATCAAATTTGAGTATTAACAATAGAGGTATTATAAAAATAAATATTTTTTAAAGATTCAGGGCTGGGTTTCACAAAACTATCGTAAGATTTGTCCTAAGATAGATCTTACGATCATCTTTAGATCTGACTTATGACAATCATAAGATTTGTCACTGCTGTTTCACAAAACTATCTTAAGTATAAGACATCTTAAAACAAATCATAAGACGAATTTCATTCTTCAATTTCACAGGGATTTTTTGTTAAATATATCATATGCACGAAGTTTGTATTTTGTGACAAAAACAAGAGGAATTCCTTCTACTTTTTAGGGTTTTCTCTCTGCTATAATTAGCGAGTACATTTTGCATGTTAGATTTGATTTCAATTTTATCGTATCCTCTTTTTAAGAGATTAACCTCAAACTCATGCAGAGTTTCAAGCAAAGTTATTTCATTGCTTGTATTTCTCATATGGCGTATTGTTTCACCTTTGATGAATCCTTTAAAAACAGAGGAATTATGTGCACTATTCCGTTCCATATATTGGAATGTGTTAGTTGGTTTAATGTAGGTTTTAAAATCCAGAATTTGATTGGTTTTAAATCTTTTTCCTTTGAACACTGTAGTGTCTAAGAAATTGATTTCTTGTGTGGAGATTTCATATGTGAATTTGAGTAGAGGATGGTGTGAATTGGCTATTTCAAATAGTTCATGGATGACAGCTTCCGATCCGTGAAAAATGATAAACCCGTCGTCGCGATAGCGACCATGATATATTAAATCATTCTTCCCTGTAAATTTATCGATGATTTCATCTATGATTTGGTGAAGGCGAATGTCGCACACAGATGGGGAACACTTAGAACCCATCGCACATCCTATTGTTTGTTTATACATAGCAGAGTTAAATTCGAATATATTGTTTTCTAGTACAAGTCGTAAAAGAAAACAAAGATCAGCTGTAGGCGGAGCTGGTATAGTATATTCTGCTTTGCTAAAGTTGGTATAGGCTATTTGAACAGCCGTAATTAGCTCCTCGAATTGCATATTTGTGTAGAGTGAAGTTACATCATAACTGACCAATAGGCATTTTGGCTGTGGTCTGAGTTGTTCAACTTTTAGAATGAAGTTTGAACTGTCCCTAATATACGGCTTAGTGTTTGCACGATGGGAGTCAAAAAGTAATCTACATACTGGCTAATGCGTTCTGTAGGTGAACCTATTTGTGAGATTATAGGTCGACCTGGTGGAATAATTGGTGAATTGCAGCTACCATTGTTTTTGATTTCATTAAAAGTCTCAATGTTGAGCTTGTGTATTTTAGGGAGCAAATATAATCTCCCTATCCTCGTACCTTTGGCTTTCCGTAGAAAGTCATAGGTAATGTTGTCAAGTACACCCTTAGTGTTCATCTCACACAGTTTTTGTGTGATACTATCTTTGAGATGATTTAGTTTGGGATTAGTAATTTTACAGTAGTATTTGCTATTTAAGGTAAGTCACTCGTCAGCTTTTTAGAAAAGTTCACGCAGAAGCTTTTACTTCAAAACTACTTATTAAAATTCAATTTTTATAACAAATTTAAATTCAACAATGTAAATTTTTTAACATTCAATGATAAAAC